AAATTAGCATCACACTCACTAGATTTCAGAGACACCAAATTATGTTGCACCTATTTAATTATTACATTTTGGGAAGATTATTTAACACCTTCCAAACTTCTTTTGTTTATTTATTCAATGAGTGAATAAATCAAAGTAGTTTGAAATGTTTGAATTAATCTTCCTAGTGATTGATAAAATTCTTAAATAATGGGAGATGTTAGTGTCCAGTATTGCTTCAGCAGCAAATATAAAACATTATTTTTGAGAAATTATTTTTCTTTTCATAAAACAATTAAATAATATCTGTAAGTTTTTAAATGAAATCTATTTTTCTAAACTCTAATTTTATAATTATTTAAAGTGAGTGTATATTTTTTTGGGCATGTAACATATGATTTCTTTGTTTTTATCTATATAGAAAATCTTTTTGAAAAAAAAAAAATGTTCTTACCAACCCATCATTAATGATAGTGGCTAGAAACTTAATCATATATAATTTCTCACAACCTTTATTTTAGCTTGTGGTACAAGGTCAATGTTTCTTTGTTTTAAGCGGCTACTTAGTGTAGGTTAAGTGGACTATCGACTACTTTTGAAACAGAAGTTGTCTAATTTCTCTGCATTTGGCCAATAACACAACTATTGATCCACAGAAAAATATTTCAAAATTATTTAAAAAGTCGAATTTCATTTTAAATAATTGATAATAATGAAAAATAAATTAATTTGAGTAAGATTGAATTACGTAGGTAAAATTACGCAGGTAATGCGTACTGAAAAAGGATTGGATCTGGGTGGGACAACTCCCATGCTAGGCTATACGGATGATCTGGTACTGTTAAGCGAAGACATGGAAACTATAAAAATTAAATACGACAACGTTAATGAAAGCCGGTAAAGAACTAGGACTCAGAATAAACGCGGACAAAACAAAATATATGGTTAGCTGCAAAAATGGCGATACTGCTGTTGATATCGATATAGATGGTAATATGTTTGAACAGGTAGAGAAATTTAGGTATCTAGGTTCTACAATTACTAGAAAAAACGAAATTGAAGAAGAAATTAAGGTTAGACTGAAGGCGAGAAATGCTTGTTATTTTTCTGTGACAAAACTACTTAGCTCGCGCCTCTTGTCCCGTAACTTAATAATTAGAATCTATAAAACCATTATCTTACCTACAGTTCTTTATGGATGTGAAACTTGGCCGATTACATTAAGGGACGAACAGCGTCTTAAGGTTTTTGAAAATAAATTATTGCGCAGAATATTCGGACCGAAGAAGGATGAGTTAACCAGAGAGTTCAGACGGTTACACAACGCAGAATTGCGTGAACTGTATCCGGGTAATATAATTGAGGTAATTTCATCGCGGCGAATCAAATGGGCTTGTAAAAATGTTGGGCTTAGTAACGAGAGAATTCCTAAAAGGTTAATATTTGCTGTGCCGAATGGTAAACGTCCGAGGGGTAGACCGAAGCAAAGGTGGGAAGATTGCATTAAAACCAATCTGAAGGGACTGGGTTTGGACGGCGAACGGTGGAGGGAGGTGTGTAATAATCGATTGGTGGTGTCGGCATCGAACCTTCAGGTTCGCTAAGCCTTCTATTATTAAGATTGAATTACAATCGATTTGGAAAATGTTTCATTTGACTTGGAAGTGGCATAAATAATCAACTATAAAATGTTTAATACTGTTCAATAATTCATATTATAAATTCATAAAATAATTTTTTTTTTTTTATTTGCTGTTTTTTAACGTCACATCGACTGCCAAGGTCATTAGCGACGATCGTTCTTCTTAAATATAACTTATCAATTTTATTTTTCGAATGTACTTCAACGTTTTTTCAATACCAGTGTTTTCCTTGTACGTTGCCTTGTCTTCAATTTGGAGTTTGATTTGCTGTTTCCGGAACTTTTTGCACTGGAATATGTGTTCAACTGTCAGATTAGCATTTTCACATGCCTCACATGTTGGTAAGCCAAGAAGTAGGTGGAGATGGGTCAGTTTGGTATGTCCAATTCTGAGCCTGCTTATTATAGAACACTCTTTTGATGTCAGGTGTTTTGGAGGATACCAAGCTCGATTTTCGCCTTTGGTCAGATGAAGGTGATTGCGCGGCAGTAATCTCCACTGTGCATTCCAATTGTCGTTCACTTTCTTTGAAATTTCTCTTCTCCACTCGTTAAGAAACTTCGATCCTAAAACAGGTGAATCTGTGCTTTTGGCGGCTTCCTTTGCTCCCTGATCGGCTCGTTCATTGCCAATTATGCCAATGTGTGAGGGTACCCAAAACAATATTATTTTTTGACTATTTTTATTTAGTTTCAAGTTCATTAGCTGAATTTTTTTGTGCATTGTGTTATATGTCCATGTATTTTGCAGTCCCTTGATTACAGATAAGAAATCAGTCACAATTACTGATTTCTCAATATTGGTGTCGATTACGTATTCAAATGCCTTGAGAATCGCCCAAGTTTCACTTGTGAAAATTGAATTATTGTTATTTAATTTCCATATTTTAATATTGTTTTGGGTTACTATACAGCATCCTATACCTTTCTCTGATTTTGAACCGTCCATAAAAATTATGTCATGATTATGGAATAATTTATGGACAATTTCATGATACCTATATCTAATTTCTTCTGGGATAGTGTTGTTTGGAAGATTGTTCAGGCTTATTTCATTTTTGATTGGTGGAATTGTCCACAGAGGGGTATCTCCTATTTTCTGAGGTATAATATTTCTATGTGTTGTAATTTCATACTCAGTGGAGTATTGCTTAATTCGACTTTTAAGTATTTCTGAACCATTAGGAACATTTAAATCACCTTTATACAGAATATAAAAATTATTGTGCTCTGGCATACTCTGAATTTTTGCTGCATAACGAAGAACGAGAAGTTTTCTTCTAAGGTCCAAGGGCAATTCTCCTGTTTCACTCAGTAAGGTAGTTGCTGGGCTTGTTCTGAATGCTCCAATTGAAAGTCTCAGTGCTGTGTTCTGAATTGAGTCTAGCTTATTTAGGAGGTTTTTGCAAGCTGAAGAATATATGATGCTTCCATAATCTAGTTTTGACCTTATAAGGGATCTGTATGTAGTTAGCATAGTGTTTCTGTCTGCTCCCCAGTTTTGATGGGAAAGGATTTTTAGGAGGTTCAGTCTTTTATTACAATCCTGTTTTAATTTTTCTATTTGATATTTCCATTTTAGTTTACGATCTAGTATAAGACCTACAATTTTGATTTCTTTGTAAAATGCGATTTCAGAACTGTTTATTGAAATATATCTTATGTTCTCTAATTTCTTTTCCTTGAGAAAATGATAGCCTTTGATTTTGTAGCAAAAAATCTGAAACCTCCCCCATTCTTCTAGTTGGGACATAGCAGACTGCATTATCTGTCGTGTAAGATTAAGATCTTTCCCTTTGCAACAAAGCAATAAATCGTCAGCATAGAGGAAACTTTTTACTGGAAGACTAATTCGGTCGGCTATATCATTTATAGCTATGAGAAACAGAGATACGCTGATTACAGAGCCTTGTGGTACCCCATTTTCTTGTTCAACTTCATCGGAGATGACTTCGTTTACCTTTACTTGCATTGCGCTATTGCTGAGGAAATTTCTAATGAAATTTAGCATATTTCCTCTTACTCCATTATGGTTAAGTTTGTCAATTATACGTGGTCGATAAACCATATTGTATGCTTTTTGTATGTCTAGACTGATTCCAATCAGGTTCATGTTTTCTGCGAACGCTGAAAGTATTTCATTTGTAATATTAACCAGGTGATCTGTTGTCGAATAATTACGCCGAAAACCTGCTTGATTTTTATAAAAGTATTTCTTCTGTTCAAGATACCATATGAGCCTTTTATTGATGATTGATTCCATCAGTTTACATATTGTACACGTCAAGGATATTGGCCTATAGCTTTGAGGGTCTTGTTTATTTTTATTTGGTTTTAATATTGGAATTACTATAGATTTACGCCATTGCGTTGGGAAAATATTTTGGGGCCAGTAAATATTAAAAATAGAAAGATGATGTTTTTTCCCCAAAGGGGACAGTTTCTTAAGAAAAATAGATGGTATACCGTCAGGTCCTGGAGCAGAATTTTTCATGTTTTTAAGGCATTCCTCTAGTTCCCTTTCTTGTAATATAGTATTGAGGAAGTGTTCATTGTCAGTTGGATGAATCTTATAGTCAGTTACGACCGGTTTTGGAGGAGTTACATAATTAAAACTTGAAGATTGGAGAGAGAAATCGTTACTTAGTAGATTAGTTATCTCTTTGCTAGTGATAACCGTTTCTTTTCCTTCAATTTTTAGTGATGTTATTTTATGACTATTGTATATTCCTCTAATTTTTCTTATTTTATCCCAGATATCTTTAATTGAGGAAGATTCGTTTAGGCTGTTAAGGAATCGTTCCCAACTAGATCTTTTAGATTCCTTAATTATTCTACAGGATATGGCTCTTTTCTTTTTGAAATCAATAAGATTTTCAATCGTTTTATGTCTTCGATATTTGTTGAATGATCTTTTTGTGGATTTTACAGCTTTCTTGCATTCACTATTCCACCAAGGAACAAGGGACTTGTTGGAAATGTTTTTCCAATCGTCTTGAGGGCAGTGGTTGTGATGATTTCAATGAATCCGTTTACTAATTCATCTATGTTTTCCGTTTTAGGAATTGGAGATTGAGTTTGTAAGAATCAATAGATTGAGCATATTTCGTCCAATCAGGAGATTTTAAATTCCATCTGCTAATTTTCAGAGGTTCATTGGTTTTATTAATAAATTGAAGCTTGAGAGGAAAATGGTCTAAATCAGTAAAGGATTAAATAAGTAGCTTGTATTATGTATTATGTACATCATAATAATTTGTTATTGTTCACTTTTATTTCTTTAATTTTTCTTTCTTTCCCATTTTTTATTTTTATGAATAAAATAATTGTATGAATATAAAATGGTTTAGTTGTGATTAATAATATTATGTATTTTCAGTTATAATACTGGAGTTATTCTCTTAGATTTAAAACAATTACGTGATGAAGGATGGGGTCAGCTATGGAGACAAATAGCTGAAAAGGATTTAATGACTCATTATACAACCAGTCTTGCTGATCAAGACATTTTTAATGCAATTATAAAACAGCATCCATATTTAGTATATAAATTGCCCTGTCAGTGGAATGTACAGTTAAGTGACAATACTAGAAGTGAATTATGCTACACTGAAGTTACAGACTTAAAGGTATTGAATTTCTAAATTTATGCACATTGCTTTGTACTTTTGTGTAAAATCAAGACATTTTGCATTCTTAAAATTATATAGTAATTTTAACAACCTATTATTCACAAATGATTAATGAATTAGTCCTTCTTTTACATCTTCGTACTTTGCTCCATTTATAGGATACAGATGAATTATGTGATTTTTATCAGATCTTTTGTAACTTGAAACGTTATTTCTTTTTTTTCTTGTAATTTTCATTGATTGTGTCCTAAATTTTTTATAATACTCCTTATATGACTAAAATACTGGATGTTTTAAGATTCTGAGCCTATTGCAGTTTTGATATGAGCCCATTACTTTCTCGGGTTCACAATTCTTATTTATTCAATAAAATGCCTGAACCACCTGTGCTATAATTTTCTTTATTTGGGATTTCTTTAATTTTTATTCTGCTTTTCTTTCATTTTTCTTTAATTTAGGGATTTTGACCTCCTCTATGATTAATTCATTATTCTCTTGATAGTAATGACAAGATTAGTTTATTTATTTAGAATTTAAATCATCAATGGATATATATTAAGGAGTATAAGTAGCTTGTATTATGTACATCATAATAATTTGTTATTGTTCCCTTTTATTCCTTTAATTTTTCTTTCTTTCCCATTTTTTATTTGTATGAAGCTGAAACCTTAAGCCTCAATGTTCTTGGTTTTCTCCTCAGTTAATTAGGCATAACCCAGTGTTATATCAGTTTCAATGCCCATTTCTTGGTTATTTAGTAGCTCAGGTAAAGTATAGCGAGGGATGAACTATCTGGTGATTGTTATCCACTTACTACATGGCAGAAGAGGAGAGCATGGGAATTGTAGCAGTGGCTGATACCAAGTGGCAAATGTTGGAGGGGAGGCTTCAAATATGACTGAGGTGTTGGTTGGCTGAAACTTAAAATCCACCTGTCTCACTCTGTTGTCAGCATCATGTTTCTATTCTCACGAGTTTGTTATATTTGAAAAGAATATTTGGAATATACTAGGTTTTTTTTTCCTTTATAATTTATTTCACTTTTATATATAACCCTTTATTGATAGTATGATAAATACATATATATAATGATGATATTGATTACTATTTTATTAATTAATTTTTTATCTATTTTTCAGTTATATTTTCGTGTTTTTCAGTCATGATCTTATGTTGTAGGTCATACATTGGAATTCTCCCAAAAAATTAAAAGTAAAAAATAAGCATGTGGAATTTTTTAGAAATTTATATCTAACTTTTTTAGAATATGATGGTTATCTTTTGCGGCGTGAATTATTTAGTTGTAATATTTCCAGAACAACTCATAAGCAAAGAGAATTGAGTAAGGTAATAACTTTTTATTATTTATGTATCAATTTTAAAAATTAATTTAATATTATATTGCTAACAAGTTAAGTATCATTGAACCACATCATGGTCCATTCTAATATTACATTGTAGTAGTTCCACACCTTTTTTCTCTTATCTTCTCCATGTTACACAGAGTTTGAGTTCTTCCCTCTCAATCACATTGTATACCTTTAAATTTTCTGTTATGAAGGATGAAATTGCAGACATGTTTGATGCTTGATAATGTTGTCCAATGTATCATGATGTAGTGTCAAATATAACAAAGCTTTACATCCTTATTATAGTATATTGTAATATTAACTTGTTTTGTTTTTAGTTAAATGAAGAGGACCCTTGCTATGATTTTAGAAGGGCCTGCTTAAATAATTTCAGAACACATTTATATTTTTTACATTATGACTATGAACCAAGTCCAGAAGGGAATGATGTTACTCTGGTTGCTCAGCTATCAATGGATCGTCTTCAGATGGTAGAGATGATGTGTAAACATTGGGATGGTGAGACATTAAATTTATTATAAAAATATGAAATTATAAATAACTTTTATTTTGAGTTACTGTACTCTAATCTTCGTCATTATTTGATATTAAACTCTCTCCTTTTTTTTTTTTTAGGTCCTATTTCCTTAACACTTTATATGTCGGATACTGAGGCTCAACAATTTTTAAGTTATGCATTAGGTTCAGAAATTCTTAGTAATAGGAAAGACATTGGATATCATGTTGTTTATAAAGAAGGGGTAAGATTTTGTTCTTATTGAATTGATGTGATGTTATGGGTTTCAGTTCTATGATACCTGAATTATTAAAACAGTGAATGGTTAGTTATTAACTGCTAACAGATTTTGAGAGATTTAAGGCTTTGTTTTGGTCTCTTTGAATAATAGCCTATTTTTTTTTTCAATATACTTTTATAAATTTTCTGGGAGGAAATTTTAGTGTATGTATATGTCTCTCTCTTTCACTCCCTCATTCTCTCTCTTCCTCCATGTATATATCTATATATTTTTTTCAATTTATTTAATGCATAGTTCAATTTATTTAATGCATTTAGTTATTCAAACATTGATTATGCTTCTTAGATATAATTGGAAGACATCAAGCCTTGAATTTCTAATGCCGGCAAATAACTGCAGTTCTTTATTATTTGTAATGTTGTAGGATTAAAAAAATATTTGATTTATCTTATTTGATGACTTATTAGGTGCTATCAACGTAAAACAGTGTAGGAAGAATTATTGAATGGCTTTCATTTTATTTCTCTATTCTTTATTAGCATAACATTTTAGGTTTGGCGTTAAACATACAATTTTCATCATATACAGTCAATATTTTTCACTTTACTGTTCTGATATAATATATTTAACAATATTTAAAATACTACCATCAACAATTTTTTTTTAATTATGAACTATCAGGTTTAGTTTATCTTTCTGTAAATTAGTAAAATATCTTTGTCATATTAGTAAAATATATAATTAAAAAAGATATATTATTATTCCTGCAATTGCAATAGGTATTTTAGTGAACATATATTAATAATTGTTTATTTACTTATTTGCTTCGACTAAAAAATCTCATTAATGCATTTAATTTACATTCATTTTACTCATGTTGTATCTAAATATAAAATTACCATTGTATTTGTATTATTTTTTTTCCAGAATTTTTATCCAGTTAATTTTTTACGAAATGTAGCCCTTCAGCAAGTTAATACTCCTTATGTATTCTTGACAGATATTGATTTTCTTCCAATGTTTGGACTCTATGGTTACCTTAAAAAATCTGTTCAAGTTTTGGACTTGGAATCTTCAAAAAAGGCATGTTATATTAATTTAATGGATTACTAATATAAATATTCTTCATCCTTTAAAATAATAAATTAATTTACAATGATTTGTTTCTTAATTCATGGATTGGTTCATATGGATTGTAGGCTTTAGTTGTGCCTGCATTTGAAACTCAACGTTATCGTACTACATTTCCTCGAAGTAAAGCTGAACTGATTAGAATGCTTGATATGGGAACTTTGTTTACATTTCGTTATCATGTTTGGCCCAAAGGACATGCTCCTACTAATTATGTTAAATGGCGTTCGGCTACTAAGTCTTATAGAGTAAAGTTAATTTTATAATTTTTCTTTACTTAATTTTTTAAATATGTTATTTATTTAGTTTTGTTTTGCTAAGTGATGAATCAAATTTTATTAATAAAGATTTTTGAATTGGTTTCAGGTTCAGTGGGAACCTGATTATGAACCATATATAGTTGTACGAAAAAACACTGTACCAGAATACGATACTCGTTTTGTTGGATTTGGTTGGAATAAAGTTTCCCATATTATGGAATTAGAAGCTCAAGGTTATTCATTTATTGTACTTCCCAATGCATTTATTATCCATATGCCTCATGCTCCCAGTTTTGATATAGCCAAATTCAGAGGATCAGCCCAATACCGCCGGTGAAAATATTTGGATGCTATATTTATCTTCAATTTATTGTTGTTGTTTTTAATGTTAATTTATTGTATTTTTTCCAGGTGCTTAAAAATTTTAAAAAATGAGTTCGTGAAAGATTTAGAAAATCGCTATTCAAGAGTGTTTGAGACAGAAGGGAATTAAAGTATAACAGATTCATCAACACCCAAGTTTAAATTAAATTAATTACATATTAAACAAAAATATAATTTTACTAATGATATTTGCATACATTTTTTTGCTTAAACAATAAAATTGGAATTGTTCACACCACAGTGCTTTTAAATATGGTACCTTTATTTTACTCAATAACATTTGTTTATGTTTTTCTTTCTGTGAAACAAGGTTGTTTAAATATTCAAATACAATGTTTAAACGTCTATAAATTACATGAAAATATTTTTTAATATTTACTCTTAAAAAAATTAAAAAAAAAAATCTTATAACAAATTTATTTTTTTTTAATTTCCAAAAATGTACTGTTGAAGTGGGTTATCTTGCTCCTTAAAGATTCATATTGCTCCAGTAATATCTATTATACTTATTGAAGAGAAGAATTCTTGGGGTGATCAGTCAAAACCATTCTTCTCTTCAATTATTCACCACAGTCAACCATTAAGAACAGAAGGTGGATTGTTATAATTATTAAGGAATCTCACTTTCTTCTAATATTTTATTGTATAGACATGTGTTAATTCTAACTAATCCAATTCAGGAGTACACCAAGAATTTATTGAAGAATACTAGTCTGGGGTTAGAATAGTTTATTAATACTATTATTGATCAAGTATTTCCCCTTTGGTAATTATTATAAAAATAAATTGAATGGTATTGTACATTTTCTTGCTTCCTTACTACAGCTTTTTTTTCCTACTGGAGGTTATAAAAAGATTACTGCTTAGAATCAAAAATTTCTACTCCTGTTTTATGTTTTAGACATCTAGTAATAGATTCGGTTCCTGTCTGCCTGTAGTCGAAACCATGTGATGGGTATATCACAATCTACCATTTATTTGTTTTTATATGAATGTTTTAGAGATTGTGCTGGTTGGTGTTTAGATCATCCTCTATCAGCTTCACCAAAACACATCTAATACTTCAGCTTAGGCATCGTAAATATAGTTTCTTAGATATGCCTATGTTTCAGAAAGGGCTGCTTAGATTTGGCTCAAAGTTGGTTAGAAGTTAGGTATTGGTAAAAAAATGTTACTGTATCAATTTTATTGAATTTCATTCACTACTTTCTCTTACATATATCCAAACTTATTTTCCTTGATATGTACATAACTTAAAAACCGCACATTCTATTTAGACCAAATTTGGGGAAAAGGTAGTGATTGAGAAACAAATGCTCAAATAGGTATCAATTTTCATCCACTAGTTTCAAAAAGTACTTCCATTTTTGGATCTATAAACTTATTCTTTCTGACAGTCTTATAATTTGAAAATGGTTCATTCGATTTGACAGTCATAAATATAAATAAAGTCATAAATACAAATGAGAAAAATTCTCCATAGGATAACCAGAGCGATCCGAGTTCAGAGTATAAACACCTGGAGAAGAAAGATCAATAAACAACTTACAGAAACTGAGCAGCATGGAGATAAAGATGGAAGGGGCATCTAGCTCCTAGCAATCCATCTGGAAGCCTATACTGTAACAATGAATGCCTCAATAGAAGGCAAAAGACCACGTTGAAGACCAAAAAGCAGATGGATAGAATCAACAAAGATGCAATAGAGCTGTGTGCAGATAAATGGAAAGAAATGGCCCAAGACAGGCAGATATGGAGCAGACTTGTTAAGGTGGCAAAAGATCTACATGGTCTGTAATGTCAACATAATATATATAATATATATATATATAATAATATATATATTATATATAATATATATATATATATATAATATATATATATATATATATATTAATAATATATATATTATTATATATATAATATAATATATAATAATATAAATAATATATATATGTATATACATGTAATATATAAATATATATGGGGCCGGGGTAGCCGTATGGACTAAGGCACTTGCAATAGGTAATCAAAGTTAGGCAACGTCGAGCTTGGTCAGTACTTGGATGGGTGACCCGAGATTCCTCCCCCCCCTCGGGTATGTGAGACCCGTCAGCCTACTGGAGGCAACTCACGCCGTAGGGAAGTGAGTGACTCTGTGTTATACATAGCTCCTGGTCCTCCTGGTTGGTGGTTGGGCATAGAGCTAATAACCCTATCCCGTCAAAAACACCATAGTAAGAAACCTAAAACTAGCCTCGGAAAATCTGACTGTCTTAACATGGCAACGACTCCGGCTTTGTATAACGGACTCCATATCGGATCATGGAATGTTCGGAGCTTATACAGACCAGGGGCCGCTTAAACGGTATTTAATGAAGTAAAAAGGTACAACATACCGTTAACAGCCATTCAAGAGGTAAGCTGGCCAGATGGCGGGGAAACCACTATAGACGGCTACACACTGTTCTACACCGGGAGAAACGACAAAAATGGGACAGCTGGCACTGGATTTATAGTTAATCCGTCCACAAGTAAGTCAGTAATAAACTTCACCCCAGTTAACGAAAGGTTAAGTGTGCTGCGCGTAAGAGGTCGTTGATTTAATATCACGATTATTAACGTGTATGCACCAACCGAAGAAAAAGAGGATGAGGTGATGGACGATTTCTACGATCAGTTAGAAAAAGTTGTGGACCGGGCTTCAAAACGTGACATAAAATTAGTCATGGGATACTTCAATGCAGAGATAGGTCGAGAAACTCAATTTAAGCCCATCATCGGAGGCCAAAGTCTCCACGAAACTAGCAATGACAATGGAGTGAGATGCATTAGTCTGGCAGCAGCTAAAGGTCTAGTAGTAAGCAGTACAATGTTCCTGCACAAGGACATACATAAGTATACCTGGGTAAGTCCTAAAGGAGCAAAATGCCAAATCGACCATGTGCTGATAGACAAGAGCCATTAAAGCTCCATACCAGACATAAGGAGTTATCGTGGAGCAGACTAATTCGGACCATACTCTGATTAGAATAAAACTCTGTGAGAGGCTGAAGCGAATCTACCGAATTGAGAACCAAGTGGAAAGACAAGGGTACGAAGTCCGTAATTTGAAAAACCCTAGAGTACAAGCTGAATTTCAAATTGAGCTGAAAAATAAATTCGAACCCTTGAACTCGGAAGGTCTCACGGTTGACCAACACTGGGAGCCACTAGAGTCAGGGCTAAAACAAACAGCTAAGGAAATAATAGGGATTCAGGAAAAAAGAAAAGCCAAGAAATGGTTCACAGAAGCATGCGAAAAGGCAGTGGAGGAAAGAAGAAAAGTCCTCTGCTTACAAATTGATCAAGCTATGCTGGACAAATACACAGCCGCCAGGAAAAAGACAAACAAAATAATAAGAACAGCCAAAAGAGAATTCCTTAAAGAAAGATTACAAACTATTGAGGAAAACTGGCTGGAAATATATGCGAATTCTTCGCAGATATCAGGAAAGAAAGGGTAGGATATAAAGCGAGAAATACACAATTGCGAGAGAAAGATGGCAAATTGACGGCATCAAAAGAAAAGATCCTAAGCATCTGGAAGGAACACTTCCAGCAGCTGCTTAACCAAGGGCACCCCACAAACGAAGAAGACATTGACCGCACTGAGGACATCGACCCACTTGAGGTTGAAAAATCAGATATTCTGGATGTGGAAATAGCTATCGGCAGGCTTAAAAGAAAAAAGGCTCCAGGGATAGATAACCTACCATCAGAATCGTTCAAGGATGGGGGAGAAGAACTCAGAGCCAAGCTGTTAGATATAATCTAGAAGATATGGGAGAAGGAACGGATACCTGGTGCATGGAACACAGGGTTGATCTGTCCTATCCTTAAGAAGGGCTCCATGTATGAATGTGGAAATTACAGTGGCATAACTCTTCTCCCGGTTGCCTATAAAATAATGACTAATATTCTGTTAAATCGGATATATCCGTATTATGAAAATATAATAGGCGACCATCAAACAGGATTCAGGAGGGGGAGGAGTACGCTAGATCACATATTCATCCTGAAACAACTACTTGAAAAATGATGTGAAGTAGATTAGGACGTACACGCATTATTCGTCGACTTCAAATCAGCCTATGACTCCGTATACAGAAACTGTCTCTGGAAGATCATGACTGAGCAGGGTGTTCCCGGGAAATTAGTGAGGTTGACGAAGGCGTGTACAAATGATCCTAAATGCAGGTTACTAATACAAGGAGACGTATCTGAAGCCTTTGAAGTTCGAACGGGTTTGAGGCAGGGAGATGGACTCTCGCCGATGCTGTTCAATTTAGCACTAGAGAAAGTAATAAGAATAACATCATGCGAAGATGGAGGGGTGCACGTTGGAATGAAACATAAAATCCTAGCATATGCCGATGATATAGCTGTCCTCGGAAGTAATCAAGAGGACATTGAGAGACTCGCTCGGACTCTATTAAAAGAAGCAGATCAAATCGGACTACAGGTCAATGTAGATAAAACAAAATACATAATAGTTAGCCGGAACATCCACCCTAATAACATGGTCTGCGCGGATTCTAAGTCATTCCCGAAAGTAAACATATTCAGATACCTCGGCTCCACAATAACCTCAATAAATGATCAACTAGCAGAGATAGACCAGCGAATAAGTGCGAACAGATCTTTCTTCTCTCTTTCAAAGGTACTGAAATCCAGGAAAATCTCCAGAAATCTCAAAATAAGGGTGTACAACGCCGTGATTAAGCCAGTTCTGCTGCACGGTTGTGGGCTCTAACAGGCACATTAGAAGCCAGAATTGAGAGATTCGAAAGAAAAGTTCTACGTAGGATAACAGGACCTATATGGGACCAGAACCTTAACACATGGAGGAGAAGGAATAATAAAGAACTGTTGAAAGAAGCAGGTCAGTCAATATCTGATGACATGAAGGCAAGGAGGTTAAGATGGGCAGGGCATGTAGCTCGTAGTAATCCATCAGGACGCCTCTACAAGACAATGAATGCCAGAGTAGTAGGCAAGAGACTACGTGGGAGGCCAAAAACCAGATCGATAGGTAGGATAAACAAAGATACGGCTGAGCTTCATGCC